AAGTGCATAATTGATTCATGTTATTTTTGTGTGTTTCTGTGTAATACCCTTAAACTGGACACTTATGAGACTCATGTTAGCTTAGAATCTTCACAACCGTTGGATAGATCTGGGGAGATTTATCCTGTCAAGGCTGACACTGATGTGCCGCCAAGTGGATTGGGGTGGCTTATTTTAGCTACCAGGGTGAAACTTGAGGTAGATCTAGTGTGGGTTTGCTTGAAACCCTGAACCGGACCAAATTCTAGTATTGCCTTGGACCTTGGAGATAGATGGGAAAAACTGAAATATTACACCTGACCCCTAGACTCGATTATAGTACTACACTAGGTATTTGATTGAGCTATCTTTGATATGCCAATCAGTGAGATCCTTAGAGGGGGTCAAAACTTGTGTATGTTGGGGCAGTCCAAGATTCACCTGAATGGGTGATCATAGTGACAAGATCAGCCCCTTTGTCGGACAAAGTGAATGATCGGGAAATGCACTCTCTTTGATGGAAACCTAAACTACTGGTAGTTGATTTCAAATTGTTGAGATTTGTTTTTCCAAAATATATTTATATAGAGATATACATCTATATTATGGTTTCACAAAATGTTTGCAAAAAGGTTTTAATTCCCATAATCCATGTGAGTAGAGAGTGCAACACTATACTTTGTAGCCGAAGGAGAGGTCATCTCTTGTCAGGCAGTATTTGATCATTATGGACTGAGAGGTTAAGTGTAAGACCATTTAGGGATAATAAACCTGATGGGCTAATCTCACATCTGCCCATAGTCCTTGGGCTTTCATAAGATGGCTGGACCCAAGGACCATTTAGTGTAAATGTTGGGCCCATTAAGAGCCCATACTGATGGACTCAAGGGTTCACTGTATTTAACAGTGAATTCGGCCAGACCTTATAACAAAAGCTAGGCTGAACCCATGCATCTTATGTGAAGATCAATGATAGGGTCCTATGCCATACAAAGAGAGCCAAGCTAGCCAGCACTTAAAGGGAAATGAGCCTAAAAGCTTAATGGCCTAAAGCCCATTTCAAACTGGGTTAATTGGATTAATTAAATAGGGGACGAATCTGGGTATGGATTAGTAGATAAGGATAAGAGGATAACTCTTATCCACTTAAAGAGTCCAGATCCAAATAAAGATTTGGATTAGGAAACTTCTAATTGGATTAGGAGAAGTTGATCCTGATCTGCAAATAAGATAAGGGATAAGCCTTATCACTTAAAGAGTCCAGATCCAATAAAGATTTGGATAAAGAAATTCATAATCAGATTAGGAGATTAACTCTTTAAGGTCTATATAAACGAGGAGGGCAAACTGGAATACATACACAGTTTGACTGACTTTTCTGCATTTAGTTTTCTCTCTGTTCTTGCCGCCCTACCTTGTTCGATCTCCACCTCTTGGAGTGATCAAGGTTGGATCTTGATATTGTTTCTTGGTGGAAGAAACAATCTTGAAGCTGTGCTCACATCCCTACACAATTCTTGCTGAAGAATTGGGGTTCTTGCTGAAGAATCCACTTGCTAATCCTGCCTCACCCTAAGTTGTGTCATTTTCAGTGGAGGAAGGATTTGGTACCCTCTTTGGGTGTAAACACCTACATTGGGAGGAGCTTTTTCCATGGATTCCGTATCAGGTATTACTTTCCCTAATCATGGTTTCAGATTTGGTCCAGTTTTTTTCAAGAACGAACCTTGAAAAATGTAGTTTTTCTAAATCAAGGAATATGATTCCTGGATGGGAGAAAGAAATTTTTGAAATTTCGCCCAGCCACCCTGCATGGTTCAGCTAAAACCATTAAATAAGTTAACGTTTGAACCGCCCAGGTCAATGGGTCATTGACCGATTCAACGGTTTTTGGCCAAGGACCAGGATTGGGATAAAACGGAACCGGTTGCCTGGACGGTTCCCAATTAAAAAAATAAAAAAATGGACAAAAACCATTGAACGGGTCAACGGGTTGACAATTCGACCACCTGGGTCAATGGGTCATTGACCGATTCAACGGTTTTTGGCCAGGGACCAAGATTAGAGTAAAAGGGAACCGGTTGCCTAGACGGTTCCCGGGCCGAAATGTTCATTCGTCCAGGTCAACGACGATTTGAAAACCATTTATGCTTTTTGATTTTCATTATTCAAAGGTTTCTTCTATTGTGGGCTTTATTCGAACGTGTTCCGTATGTTCCTCTTTTTCTTTCATTTTCTGCTTTTGCTTTTTTCTTTGTGTTTGGTCTTCTTCTTCAAGATACTCCAAAACGGTTTAGGATTTACCACCATTTTATTTCTTCCCTTTCGTTTTTTCTTTGGGTTTTCTTGTGTAATGTTTTTTTTTTTCGTACAAGACGATCTGCTTTGTATCTTTCTTTGGTTTTTCCAATTTTGTGGGTTTATCGTCATTTTTTTTTTGTGTTTAAGGTCACTTTGGATTTACCTTTTAAGGTTTTGGAATCCTTTGCAATGTCCACCATTCCCATGACTATGACAACAAATTTATTTTGTCTAATTATTGACATCTAGAAAAAACGACCCAGAAATGGAACCATTCTGGCCATCGGTTTCTAGGTTGATGGTTCGACCATCCAGTTTGACCGGATGGCCTGTTTTGACAACAAAAATAAAAAATAATTAAAAATAAAAATGACCAAAAATCGTTGCACGGGTCAACAGTCGACCCCCGGGTCAACAGGTCATTGACTGATTCAATGATTTTTGACCAAGGATCGGGTTTGGGGTAAAATGGAACTGGTTACTTGGACGGTTCCTAGGCCGAACAGTCCTACCGTTTGGGTCAACTAGGAATTGTCGATGTGAAACAAAGGACAGCTAAGAAGTAGAACTTACAATTATCATTGTATGATTGTGTTCTTTTATATGAGATGCTTTGCTGAAGCATTATTAAAAAGCGAGCACATAATGATCTCTTGTAAGTCTTTATATGAGTTTCAAGATTTGAGTACTTATAATTACAAGTTTCTTATTAAGAAACCATTGTCTTTTTTTATAGGGAAAATCTATGATGCGGAAAAGATATGGTATGGGAAGAGTTTTGACCAATCAAAACCCACCCATGAATTTTAATAAATAACACTTGACTGGCTACCACGTTTATGATTCCAATTGATTGGTCATAAGTTTTTTAGATATCAAATCTTTTCCATATCATAGTCGAACCCTTTTTTATATGGCAAATAGCAATGTTACAATTCCATTCCAACCCCTATGAAGCAGGGCCCCTCCACTAGTTAATTGAGTAATTGGGGAAATAATAATCCAATGCTGACACAACAACATAAAAAGTGTAAATCAAGTAATTAATAACAACGTCCTCTTCGCAAATCATTAATAAATCCATAATTTCTTGACAATGAGCCACTAAGGATATGTTTGGTTTGAAGGAAAAGGTAGGGTACAAATTTTGTATAGGTTTCCCTTTCTTTCCCTACTTTATCCTTGAAACCAAAACGCAGCCTAAAAGGAAAGGTAGTGAAAATGCATATGGTTTGAAAGAAAGGGAAAAAGTAAGAAAACCTATTCAGCCTTAGGTTTTAGGGGCTTTAGGACTAAGACCCTGTTTGGTTTAGGGGTCTGGAATTGGAATTGGAATAGCCACTGTTTGGTTAGGCAGAATCAGAATTCCATTCCCATTCTTGTTACAATAGCATTTTCATAGGAATGAAATGTCATTCTTGCTTATTCTAATTTCTATTCTCATTCCTGTCTGAACCAAACAGATTATAAAAATAGACCATTCTTATTCCAATTCCAAAGAATTTTGATTCCGATTCTGATACCGATTCCAACTGTTAACCAAACCGACCCTAAGTGCAAAGATATAGATGGATTAAAAGGATTGGTTTTAGTCAATCCCATTTAAACAGCTTTAAACTCTTTAGAAAATGATGCTCATGTTCACCAAACAATAGAAAATAGACACCCTTCCGGGACTGAAAATAATTCTCTTAAAGTTCATAACAATTCATTTAACAAAGCACCAATGAAATATTTAGATCAATGGTGGTTGCCAGTGATGCTACGAGCATTATTTTAGTCATTACACATTTTCAACTTAAGCAATTCATTTAACAATTTAGCAATGAATTATTTTAGACCAATGGGGGATGCTACGAGCATTATTTTAGCCACTACACATTTACAACTTGCGCAATTCATTTAATTGTAGAAAAAAAAATCCAAAAGAATCTGAGTGGTTGGAAAAGAAAATATCTCTCAAGCAGAACACTACTAATAAAGTCAACCATTGAAATCATTCCAAATTATAACATGCAAACTAATTTGATGCCAAAGCCTATTTATTTGTTCCTCAATTAATAATTTAAGCAAAGATTTCTGGTGGGGCACAGTTAAAAAGGAAAAAACAAAGCTCACTTGAAAGAATTGAAACCCCAAGGATCAAGGTGGCATTGGTCTATATGATGCTAAAATGAAGAACAAGGCCTTGGTTACTAAATTATGCTAGAGATTTCTGAAGTAAAACAATACACTATAGGTAAAAATCCTCTGCCAAATATTTAGAAAATCAAAATTTTTGGTGTCTTCCACTTGGATCTTACAAACATTTCTTACACCAAGGATGCAGATGGTTGGTGGGGTCAGTATGGGCAATAAACGCTTTGGTCGCTGAGTGCAAAACAGCTGCTGCATCGCTTCTCAATTTTTTTTGGTTTATCATATTTCTAGAAATGCTAACACGGCTGCTCACATGTGGCCAATTTGCTAGTGGTTCACTAAAAATTGATAAAAAGAAACACCACTGGGGGGGTGGGGTGCTGAAAATACTACTGCTACTATTGATGTTTGCTAAAACTTAATAAAAGAAACACCAGTGGGCTGAAAATAATAATCTTTAAATCTAATGAAATTCATTAAACAAATCATTAGTGAATAGTTTAGACGAACCGTGGATGCATGGCTACGGCATACTATTTACGGATTTCGAACTTGGTTTAATTTTCCAAATTGCGCCGTGACTATAGATTTCCATTAGAACTGCCCCTTTCTTTCCCTCTCCCCATCTTTCCTCTACATTCTAGCTCAGAATCTCCAAAGTGCCATGGTTGATCCGATCTCCTGCTGCAACCTTGCCCTCCAATGCTGGGCTTGCTTTGGAGGGCCTAATTATTCAACCTATGTCTTTAAATTAGAAGAAAATCACAGATCTTTGAGTGGAAGCTTGGAGAGATTGAAGAATTTACGAGACGACGTGAAGACAAGAGTGGAGGAGGCAGATGTGAGGGGAATGACATGGACAAATGAAGTGGATGGGTGGCTGCAACGTGTAGAACAAAGACAAGGGGAAGCTCAGAATATCCTAGATGAATGTTCTCGACGGATTCACAAGGATTGTCACTGTCTTGGAGATTACTGTCCCAGGAACTGCTTCGCTAGCTACAAGCTTGGCAAGAAAGTGGCTCAATTGCTCAATGAAGTGGATGCATTAATCGACCAAGGCAACAGTTTCACTGAGGTGGCTCATAGACGGATTCCACTTGCAGGAGAAGAAATTCCTCTACCATCAATTAAGGGCAGTGACTTGATGTTTGACAAGGTGTGTAGTTGCATAAGAGAAAATCAAGCTGGTATTATTGGACTTTACGGTATAGGGGGAGTTGGAAAGACGACCCTTCTGAAGAAGATCAACAACGAGTTTCTCCAAAAGACAGCGAACGGTGATTTTGAGGTTGTGATTTGGGTTGGCTTGTCCAAGGGATTAAAGGAAGTAGAGATGAAACAAGCGATTCGGAAGGGAATCGGTGATACATTGGGGATTACACAAAAAGAAGATAAAAACCAGGTTGCAGAGGCACCTCAAATTTTCAGGTTGTTGACTCGAAAAACGTTCTTGCTCCTATTGGATGACATATGGGCTCCATTCGACATGAGTGAGATTGGAATTCCTCACCCTGCTAATTCAAGCAACAAGTCATCGAAGGTAATATTCACGACTAGATCTGAACAAGTTTGTGGAGCCATGGAAGCTAAGAGAAAGTTCAAAGTTGAATGCTTGCCTCCCGACGAAGCATGGAGTCTATTTCAAGAGAAGGTGGGAGAGGACACCCTTAAATGTCATCCAGACATACCTCGGCTCGCTAAGGATGTTGCCAACGAGTGCGGTGGCTTGCCCTTAGCACTCATCACCGTTGGCCGTGCCATGGCTAGCAAGACGACTCCTCAAGAGTGGGAACATGCCATCACGATGCTGCAGAAACATCCGACAGAAGTTTCAGGTATGGAAGAGAAAGTGTTTTCCATTTTGAAGTTTAGCTATGACTTCTTGCCAAATGATAAAGTCAAATCTTGTTTCTTATATTGCTCCCTGTTTCCCGAAGATCATTCCATTTGGGTTGCACCAGTTATTTCATATTGGATCGGGGAAGGGTTTATAAAAGGATTTGACGAAATGAGGGAAGCATTCAATGAAGGATATGATATTATTGAAACTCTAAAAAGGGCTTGTTTGTTAGAGCCCGACGGGACTTACCTTTTAAAGATGCATGATTTGATCCGTGACATGGCATTGTGGATAATTTCCAACGATGGAAGGAATAAGGACGTGCATTTGCTGGTCAGGTATGACGATTTGACCAAGGCAGCGTCTTATGAGCTTGAGGAGTGGCACGAGACAAAGCGGATATTTGTGATGATTTCTACATCCAGTACGCCTGATCAAGTAGAGCACCAAATTATTAATACAGTCGTCTCGCCTGAGTGCCCCAACCTTACAACCTTCATCACTGACATAAATCTTGACTTCAATCAGCGAATGAAATTCCCTACTAACTTCTTCCAATCTGCCACCAATTCTCTTAGAGTTTTGGATTTATCCTATTGTTCTATAGGAAAAGAGTTCACAAGAATGATGGTTGAATTGGAGTATCTCAGTCTCGCATATACGGATATAACGGAATTGCCATACCAAGTGGGAAACTTGACCAAATTAAAGTATTTGAATTTGAGTGGAACATTTAATCTTGGCGTGGTTTCGATTGAGGGAATCCTAAGGCTGTTGGATCTGAGGTTATTGGACCTATTTAACTCTAAGTTTGGGGATTGGGAATTAGAAGGTAGGTCAAGATTGATGGAATTATTTGAAACCTTGAAACACTTTACTGACCTGAGTGTCACAATTAAAAGCGACATCTCTCTCCAAAGTTGGATCAACTCCGACAAGTTGCGGAACTACACAACACGTCTGTGTGTTCAAGATTGTGAGAACAAATCTATTAGAATAACTACTAACATTGAAAACATGAAGCATCTGACAGAGCTTCGGATAAAGAATTGTCCGCGGTTAAGAGAGGTGAGCATTAGTTGGCGTACCGAGAACGGGTCGACCTTGAACCTGGAGATGCTATCACTCGCTGGCCTCCCCAAGTTACAGATTGTGGAGTTTCCGCCGCATGTGTTCTTAGAAAACCTTCAAGATGCAGAAATCTGTAATTGTCAAGTTTTGGAGGACCTCACCTGGCTTCGTCATACTCAAAAGCTCAAAAGACTATGGCTGGGTGATCTACCAAGATTAAAACTGGTAGTAGCGAGTGATGAAGAAGACGCCGAAGAAAGGTCGAAACCATTGTCAAGTCTCAAGTTTATATTACTGCTACAGCTACCAGAATTAGAAATCATATACCCTGGAGCATTGCCTCTTCCTTGCCTAGAGGAAATTGTAGTGAAAGAATGCCCAAAGTTGAAGAAGCTCCCATTTGACTCCAATACCGCCAACAACACTATGCAATGGATTAAAGCAAGTGAGGAGTGGTGGAACGCGCTAGAATGGGATGATGAAAGCACCAAGTCCACTTTTGAAAAATATTTCACTACCTCATTGTATTCCTAGCTAGCTCAAGGTACGTACGGCTTGACAATGGCTTCTTATTGTGCATTTTATTTATGTAACGCCATCTATTTCTAATTATTTACTATTATCATTTTTATTCATATTTCCAATTCATTTTACTCTTATATGGATGCTCAAAACATATTAATCAAACCCTTCCAACCTGACCAATTTTCCCCAACCTAACCATGCCCATACGAGCTTGAGCCCAAGCCCAAGTTGTGTTGAATTAAGCTCGAGTTGGGCCTTTGTTGATATATTTGGGCTTGACCTCCAGTTGGGCCTGGCCCAAGCCCTAAGTTTCCATATTAGGGTTGGGCTTGGGTTTACCCCAAAACAATTCAACCCACTCGAGTTGCACCCCCAGTCCCCTACCTACATGGAGACGTTGGCTTGTTATTTTTTGTGAAAAAGAACCATTGCCTCCTTTTAAAAAAGGGGTGGAAGTTTTTTCTATTAATATATTCTCTATAAGGTAGAATATTCCAAAAATAAAAGTAATTGTAAAGAAAAGTCATAATATGTCAAAATTGACCTATAAATAACGTTAATTATTTCTCATATATGGTGAATCATACATATAATAAATTAATTAAGGGTTGATCTCTTGCCAATACCTAAATCATCTCTCTGATCAAAGTGCTCCTTTAAGGCTATTCCTATTGCCAATTAGGCACTAATGTCCTAATCTCATAATCCCATTCTTAGTTTCCATTTGGATGGAATTCTAAAATCTAATTGGGTTTTAGAATCGTTTTTTTTTTTAATTCTAAATACATAAAGAGAAGGGTGTTTTATTTATTTTAATAATTTTCTATGGTCATGATCATGATGGTGATCATCATTCAAGCCTTATCCCAACCATATGGAGTCATCTACATGAATCCTATTTTACCGGCCTGTTTATTTAAAGTCATATCCATTGTTAAACCAGTAGTACATAAATCATTTCTTACTGCTTTGACCCATGTCCTATTTGGTCTTTGCATACCTATTCTAGCCCCTTCAACTAGAACAAATCATTTGTTCTTATGGGTGTTGCCAAAGGTCTTTTAATTTATGCATACACTAAAACTATCATTGTCTACTTTCTCTCATTTTCTCACTTATTGGATATGTTCCTAGGCTCCTTGGAATGACTTCATCCATTGACCCTATCCTTTCTATTTTTCCTATTCATTTTGAAAAGCTCATATGCATGTACCGACATGCTTATTTTGGACTCTTTTTAATTGGTTGATTCCCTCATGGGTAGCCTTTAGGCTATGTTTGGTTTGAAGGAAAAAGTAGGGAAAGGAAGGGAAAAGTAGGGAAACCTTCACAAATCTTGTATAGGTTTCCTTACTTTTTCCTTCAAACCAAACACAGCTTTAGGGTTCTCCATATTTCTTATGTTGTATCACAAGTTGAAATCCTATTGACCTAATCTCATTCCTACCCAATGCAATAGAAACGGTTCATAGCCCTAGCATTCAATGAAATTTTGTACTTTTCGTCCTCAGTCCATTTTGAGGAGGATTTCTCTACCATCACCTCTCCTACCTTTTTGGTAAGACTATATAGTTCATTCTCTACTATTTGCCAAAGCTTATAGTCAAGATAGATGAGATAAACTCTCATCCTCACCCTCCAATAGATATAATCTGTACCATTAAAGATTGGAGGTTTAGAGATAGATTATCCTTCAAAATAGGAAGTGCTAGCTTGGGTGGCTTTTCTATTTCACCTAGCAATCAAGATAAATCAATGGAAAACTTGCATTAATACCACTTGCTACCCGAGAGGGGTGAATTGGGTTCTATAAAATTCTCCCAATTATCCCCTTTTCAAAATGAATGCAAAATCATAATGATTGAGAATAATTATGTAAAGCCAGTATATACAAAGATTTCAAAATTAAATATGGAAAACCAATAAGAATTATCAAAAGAAATGGCAAGAATAACAGAAATTACACGCAAAATACATAGAGGTTTGACCAAACCTGCCCTACACTCTCTCCTTAGGCACACTGCTAGAGAATTTCCACTATACTAATTGGACTTCTGGGTGTCAACAAAACCATTGCACCAATTGGACTTTTAGGTGTCAATAAGACCATTACCATAGTTGGACTTGCGGGTGCTGACAAGAGATTTCACCAAATAGACTTACAAGTGATATTCCAATTACTAAATAGGCTTGTGGGTGTTATCCAAACTTTTCACATACAACTAGAAAACCACTAACTATATAAGTACAAATAAGATATGAACAATAAAAGTATAAATAAATACAATGTCTCTCAATAGGCTGATATGCAATTGCAAATAAAACCATTCAAATTGCACAATATGCTAGGGGCTCTAGCACTTGAAAAGATTTCAAGAATCTAAGTGAAAAATACTTAAGCTCAGTTTGGAAGGAGTACAAATGCAAATTTGTAGAGTGCAAAACCTTGTATTTTGTATGCATTTGCACTGTACATATTTGTATTTGTACTCCTTCCAAAGTGAGCCTTAAGCTCAATTCAATATTTTCTTTTTCTCACAAAGATGACTATCTTTTTATCTTATAAATCTCTTATAACCTCTTTTTATAAATCTCTTAAAACTCTTTTTTAACTTTTTCTCACAAAGATGACTATCTTTTTATCTTATAAATCTCACTTCTCTTGTTATTTTCCATTGTTCTTCACTTGAGAACTGGCATGTTTATGTTGGATTCAACACAATGTTTTTGAATCGTCATTGATTCGGACGGTCGGACCGTTGGGCTTGCAAACTGTACAAGCAACCGGTTCCGTTTCACACCTAGCCCGTTCCTGGGTTAAAAACCGTTGACTTAGTCAAAAAACTGCTGACCCGGACGGTTGAACCATTGACTCGTTTGACCTAGATGGCAGTTTGCAGTACAAGCAGGAGAGAATTTGTATCTCAGATCTGAGGAAGAAGAAGAAGAAGTTCTGAGAACTCATATCCGATGGACCTAAACCAGTTGGCCTAGTATGACACCAGGAATCATATAAACTTTTGCTTAAAAGAATCTCAATTTTTGTAGGAATCTCCTAGCCCTAATTAAATCAACCCTGTGCTCCTAATCAAATCTAGGGCTGTCAATGGGCCAGGACCAATCCGATGGACCTAAACCAGTTGGCCTAGTTCTCGTTGCAGGATTTGGTACTGATGGATTGGTTTCAGTTCCTGATATATTTTTCTGATTATTATTGGTTTGGAATCAGTTCTAATCAGTCCCAAACTGACTTAGACCTAATCCAAGTAATATATATAATATTTTTAGCAGGTTTATTATAATCGAGTCCATTGCATCAAACCCAATTTTCCCAAGAAGCGATAGGTTCAATCCTAGGTCTAAAATTACAGATCCTATTAGATCTAGTTCAGTTTTAGTTCCTTAATATTTCTTGTCAAGTTAGTTCTGATTCCAACCAGATCCGACCCATTGAAAGCCCTACCACAGTCGGTTCCGATTTTCCATCATATCAAAGAAGACATTATTAAAGATATTTCACTTTGTTTGATAGAGCAGTAAATCCTATCACAGTGACCACTTGTTTAGATCCCATTCTCATTAATGTACTCTAACATATTTAGGTATTTACCTCAAAAGGAGAATTATTACTATTTTTTCAATTAATATACATATTGAATGGTATTTATAATTGAAGGATTAAAAATAAGTTAATTTATTTTTTATATTATAAAATTTTTATCACTTAGGCTCCTAGGCACCCCAGCGTCGCCCAGAATCATCATTAGATGCCTTGAAAACTATAAAAATGACACACTGTCCATAAATTGAACTTATTCTTCATACACTACATGCCAATGATCACCATTATAGAAACTGATTGAATTTTCTTTATAAAATATTTATGCTCTTTACTGAATTTTGAACAAGTTTTGGATTGGTTTGAAAAAAATTATGTTATTAATTGGAATATCATTACATTGCAGGAATTCCAAGGTCATGGTAGATCAGCAAAACAATGATATAGCTATATATCGGCATCTATTGGTTTAGGTTTTCTTTCTGTTTTTCCTTTTTTTTTCTTTTGGGTAAGACATTTGTTGGTTTGTGGTTAGCTTGATCTTGAATGAATACACATTTATACATAGTATTAGCATACAATGATGGTTTGCTTTTTAATCTTCTAATAGTGTGCAATTATGCTTCGCTTATTCTAGTTTATGAACATCTTTCCATATTTTATCATAATGGTTATGAGCACATTAGTCTTTGGTTTCATACCTTAAGGCTCAGTTTAGAAGGAGTACAAATACAAATTTGTAGAGTGTTAGACTTTATATTTTGTATGTATTTGTACTGTATATATTTATATTTGTAGTTCTTTCAAACTAAGGCTTTGTTTGAAAAGAATATAAATGCAAATTTGTAGAATGTAAAACTTTATATTTTGTATGTATTTACGCTGTATATATTTACATTTATACTCTTTCCAAATACAAATTTGCAAAGTGTAAAAGATTTAGAAATACATATATAAGCTTTTCCACTATACATATTTGTATTTGTACCCTATCTAAACAGAGACTAAGGTATAAAATAGCGTATAATTTAGCTTATATACAAGGAAGAGTTTCACTCTCCTAGGTCCAGTCTCAAACATTCAAATACAAATTATGCCCTTATGTCTTTAGCCATATTTAAAACTTGTCCATCATCTCTCTTTCTAATTTGAGTTGACACCAGCTCTAATACAATCTATCTAATTAGAATCTATTTAATTAGTACAGCAAATAGAACAGCTTCTATACTATCGAACTGAAAATGGATTACAAATTTTGGCGCCAAGATGATTGCGTGGTTGACAAAAATAGACTGGAACAAGTGGAAATTGTTGTGTTTGTGATCTCACATCAGGGTGTCAATGGACTGGTTTTGGATTGGACCCCACCCAGTCCAAACTCAATTTGGAAGGATTGGACAGATCAAAAAGACAGTGGATTGGATTAATCTGGTCCAAAATATTTATTAGATTGGACTGGACCTGATCTGTCCGTAATAAATTAATTTATACTGGATTTGGTTGGAGTAAGTCAATATCCAATCTATTGATATAAGATAAGAATATATGCATCAATGGTCTGGATTTGGGTTGAAACCAATCTAAATTAAAATTAATTTGAACAAATTGGACGGTCCAAACATTAAATTAGACCGGTCCAGAATAATCCAAATTATTCATTGAATTAGACCTGTTCCATTTGTAATGGATTCACATTAGACTGGATCGGATTGAACCAAATCCAGGACAATCGACACCCCTAATGTCACACTCACAACATCATAGGGTGTGTAACGTATATCTCGCAACATTACAAAACTTACGAGTTCAAAATTCAGTGGAAATTAGAATTAGGTGGGGGGCACTTTGAGAACAAGAATGATGAAGCTACGATTAAATCTTTTATATTTTTTCTTGTTCTGTTTTGGAAGAATCCACAAGCAAAAACGTACTAAGAATTTTTTATTAAACACAAAAACCGAAATTCCATCAGGCCCCAGAACTTTTTAAATCACCTATATATGCTAAGAACTACCTTTTTGACTTAATAATCTAGTCTAAGTGTAGAGTTATCAATTATAATTGGCCAATGGTCCTGCCGTCCTGATTAATAGTTGGGTCAATTTGGATCTGTTATATTAACCAATTGAAATCTTTAGTTTACATGTAAAGTTGAGGCAAGTATCTTACATTATTGAATTAGCTACAAAAGAGGTTGCCCTCTCTTTAATGGCTGAAGCTGGAGTTGGGTCGGTTACTACACTTTAATATTTAATCATTTATTTAATTTGCTAAAAAATCGAGAATGAATAAATCATTCAGTTCAATAACTTTCACCCGTTATGTAACCATTCCATGAGACTTGTTGAGGCCTCGACCGAACTTCTTAATTAATTTCTTATCAAATAAAAGACCAACAGAAGCGGCTTTGAATACAAAGTGAGTTGTTATATATTTACTAATAAAAACCCGATTTAATTTCTTAAAATCAAATAAAAAGTTAGATTCCAAACATAATATTTAGAGTCGTCATCAGTAACTTAATTATTATATAATAATAAAATACACATTTACTCACAATAAAATATTTGTTGTGGTCAATCGAACTTGGGGCTATCAAGGGATTTACTTTTAGGCTGCCCTTCATTTTCGTCTAAATCATCTAATCCTTGACTTTTTCATCAATAATTAATCGATGTAAATAATACATTAATTTTATTGATGTACATTTAAAACAATTATTATCAAAAAATCATGGTTTTCAAAACCGAATTAGATTGGACAGTCGGACCAGAAAAATCAGGAATCGGTCCATTTTCCCCTAAAACCATTGATTTTGGTTAGTAAACTGCTGAATTGGTTGATTAACCGTTCGAACCGTTTGAACAGTTTTAATCGTTTTTCAATTTTTTTTTATTTTTTTGTCAGAATGAACTGACCATTCGAGTTCAATGGTCGGACCATTCAAACCGGTAGCCGGACCCCTGACCGATTCGGTTTTAAAAACCATGCAAAAAACTCCAACTATCCATTAAAATTTTAAATTAAACTGATCATCAATAATTTTTCCACGAAATAAAACGCACCCTTACTGAATCAGTTACAAAATAGCAGGTTGTCATCCACTTATGGCTGAAGTTGGGATTGCAGAGGCTTCAACGAGAAAAAGCCAACCTGAGATTAATTTGCAAATGCCAGCTTACAAGCGGCCAGAGCTCTTTGTTAATTATAACAATATACATATAATAAATGTTTCTAATTAGACTCAATTAATATGACAACTATACTATCAAGTACCTCTACATCCTCGTCCATCTCTCTCCATCTATAAATTACAAACACAACGAAGCACAGACCCAGTACTCGATCCCCCCCTCCTCTCTCTCTCTCTAGCAGCTACCATGTTTACACCTTTGTGTATTGTGATTATTGTTATCGCCTCCATTTACCAGTTCTCTTGCTCTGTCGCACAATGCAATAACCACGGTGGCTTTACTGTTGATCTCATCCACCGTGATTCACCACTCTCTCCATTTTACAATCCTTCCCAATCACCTTCGGAGCGGCTGCAGAATGCTGTTCGTCGGTCAATAATCCATGCCAATCGGTTCAAGTCGTCTGCGCTCTCTCCCAACACTGTTCAGTCATCCATTACAGTCAACAAGGGAGAGTATCACATGAAAATAGCACTCGGTACTCCACCTGTACAAATCCTCGCCCTTGCTGACACCGGTAGCGACCTCATATGGACACAGTGTAATCCTTGTTACGGCTGCTACCAACAAAGAGCTCCGCTCTTTGATCCCCAGAGCTCGTCCACGTATAGGGACTTGTCGTGTTCATCAGAACGCTGTGAAGTGCTACGTTTCAGGACCTGCAGCTCATCAGACGTCTGCCAGTACTCCTATCAATACGACGACCAATCCTACACCAATGGAAATCTGGCTACTGACACAATCACCATGGAGTCCTCTACCTGCGGCGAGACTGTTGCCTTCCCTGAGGTGGTATTCGGGTGTGGGCACAACAACAGTGGCACGTTCGAAGAAGATGGCTCTGGTGTCATTGGTCTTGGCAGAGGCTCCATGTCGCTGGTTTCCCAACTGGGTTCATCAATTGATGGGAAATTCTCCTACTGCTTGGTGCCAACATCTGCAGAGAATCAGTCCAGCAAGATGAGCTTTGGTTGTGATGCTGTCGTTTCAGGTGAAGGGGTGGTTTCAACTCCTATGCTTTTCAAATCCACTGATAGATTATACTATCTCAGACTCGAAGGCATTAGTGTTGGAGACTGCAAGTTGGAATACAAATCTCATTCACCATCGGATGACAGCGACGAGAATGAAGGAAACATCGTCATCGACTCTGGCACACCTCTAACCTTCCTCCCACCTGAGTTCTATCCTCAGCTAGAATCGGCTTTGAAGGCAGCAATTAATCAAGAGCCTGTTAGTGGCCATCATGGGTCTCTCCGGTTATGCTATAGGAAGACAACTGATCTTGTTTTGCCAAACATCACCGTTCATTTTACTGGCGCCGACGTGGTGCTGACTCCGTTGAATACCTTCATTGATTGGGAAGATGATATCGTCTGCTTGGCCATGCTTCCTTATGATGACCCTGGTCTTGGCATCTTTGGCACTTTTTCTCAAGTGAACTTCTTGGTTGGCTATGACATTACAAACCAGAAGCTGTCTTTCAAGCCAACAGACTGTACCAAGCTGCAGTAATATCAATAGGGCTTTTGCATGTAGCTGGGTCATGGGTGTTTGTTTGTTTGTTTTACCTCATTGCTTTAAACAATAAGATCTGCAAACTCTGCTGATTTCCTGCCCACTACTCTTTACCCGCGTTGAATTGCAGCCACACATCGCCATCTTTTATTGTGAGATGTGAGGCTGCAGTCTACTGTGGGCAGGGTGCGGGTAGAGAAAGTGAGGAGGAAATTATCTGGGTTCTAAGATTTGGGTCCTATCTGTCTCTTTGGTATTAGGGTTGTTCTGTTCTTGGTTTTTGATCAGATCTATAGTAACTACATGTTTTGTTTATCGCACAGCGAATCTTAAACTTTGAAGAATGTGACTTTTTAGGCTACATTTGTGTAGATCTAAAAAGAGCACAAAAGCTTCGTTTCAGGCATCATAAAAGGGGGTTGAATAAAAGTTGTTAAACCTCAATGATTTTCAATATATATAACTTGTTAGGTTCATTAATACCAATTGTGACTACAGAACACCTCGCCCCTAACCATATGAGAAACCCCAGTGGTTACCACCTCATAGGGGCCGGGGTGTCAAGGAACCAGGTTTGGATTTCATTAGACCCCATCGGAATCAAAGCCAAATTGAAATTTTGAATGGGTTGGACAGTCCAATAAGACATTGAATTTGGACCAGCCCAGATTTAATGGTCTAAATTATTTATTATTGGATTGGATTGGACATGGTCTATTTGCAATGAATTTATATTAAATTGGGTCAGATTGGACCAATATCCAGAAAATAAGGGTATCAATAGACCAGGTTTGGCTTGGACCCCAAACAGAATTAAAACCAAATAAGGAGATCATTCGAAAATTTACTTCTTTTATAACTATGCTTTCATTTGGAAAATTGAAGGAGGATGCATGGCATCTCAGCTGCATGGCACTTTTCGTAACACAGGAATAGCTTACGATAGTCAGATAGCATCATGGGTTTTGAGGGAAAAAATTGCAGCCTCAGAGGAAACAGGTTTGTCAGTTCAGTTGTTGAGAACCCTGCCTGAATGACCAAGAACTTCCCCAGATGGTGAGGCTGTATTAGGCCCAAAGTAGCCCAACTTGGTAGCCCGCCTCCTCAGTCCTTGCATCTACTCAGTCATAGAACAAAATTTAGCTTGAAAACCTCGCCACACGTCCACAACAATCCTAGTAATTTTTAAACTAAAAGAATTAGAAGCATAGAAAGCTAATTTTAGGTCTCAACAATATCTCTTACCTCCTTGGTAGTCTCATAGGTAGGATCATCCTCCTTGGGTTTTGTCTTACTTTCAATTACATATCCATTTTCCTCTCTAACAAATATGAATTCTTATTGATTGAGACTATGCCAAATAGTTTGTCCTATCTAACTTCACAATAGTCACTACCCCATAAAACATTCTCTACATATCATGTGTTAGACAGTTGTATGCCCTTAGCTTCAATCAGAATTATGTACATTATGAATTTATTGTAAATGAATAAAGTACACATTTGATTCATGTTCCTGTGGTGTGTTTTTGTGTAATATCCTTAAACAAGACACTTAATGAGACTTGTGTTAGTTTAGAATGTTCACAGCC